CTCCAGGCAGACATCAACCAAATCTTTCAGTGGGCTGCAGAAAACAATATGAAGTTCAACGATGAGAAATTTCAATTACTCAGATATGGTAAACATGAGGAAATTAAATCTTCATCAGAGTACAAAACAAATTCTGGCCACAAAATAGAGCGAAACACCAACGTCAAAGACCTGGGAGTGATCATGTCGGAGGATCTCACCTTCAAGGACCATAACATTGTATCAATCGCATCTGCTAGAAAAATGAGAGGATGGATAATGAGAACCTTCAAAACTAGGGAGGCCAAGCCCATGATGACACTCTTCAGGTCACTTGTTCTATCTAGGCTGGAATATTGCTGCACACTAACAGCACCTTTCAAGGCAGGTGAAATTGCTGACCTAGAAAATGTACAGAGAACTTTCACGGCGCGCATAACGGAGATAAAACACCTCAATTATTGGGAGCGCTTGAGGTTCCTAAACCTGTATTCCCTGGAACGCAGGAGGGAGAGATACATGATTATATACACCTGGAAAATCCTAGAGGGACTAGTACCGAACTTGCACACGAAAATCACTCACTACGAAAGCAAAAGACTTGGCAGACGATGCACCATCCCCCCAATGAAAAGCAGGGGTGTCACTAGCACGTTAAGAGACCATACAATAAGTGTCAGGGGCCAGAGACTGTTCAACTGCCTCCCAGCACACATAAGGGGGATTACCAACAGACCCCTGGCAGTCTTCAAGCTGGCACTGGACAAGCACCTAAAGTCAGTTCCGGATCAGCCGGGCTGTGGCTCGTACGTTGGTTTGCGTGCAGCCAGCAGCAACAGCCTGGTTGATCAGGCTCTGATCCACCAGGAGGCCTGGTCACAGACCGGGCCGCGGGGGCGTTGACCCCCGGAACTCTCTCCAGGTAAACTCCAGGTACATAGAGGCTAAAGGATTCCTCCCCCAACAAGTGTTCAATTGTGATGAAACAGGCCTGTTCTGGAAGAAAATGCCAAAGAGGACCTACATTATGCAGGAGGAAAAGGCCCTGCCTAGACACAAGCCTATGAAAGACAGGCTTACTCTTCTGTTCTGTGCTAATGTTACTGAGGATTTCAAAGTGAAGACTTTACTGATGTATCACTCTGAAAATCCCAGAGTGTTCAAGAAACACAATGTTTTCAAGAGTTAATTGTGTGTGATGTGGTGAGCTAACAATAATGCATAGGTCACAAGGCAAATTTTCAAAGAGTGGGTGAATGATATGTTTGGCCCAAGTGCGAAAAAATACCTCCTGGAACATAAATTGCCACTCAAGTGCCTCCTGGTACTGGACAATGCTCCTGCTCATCCTCCAAACTTGGTAGATATATTGTCTGTGGAATTCCATTTCATCACAGTGAAGTTCTTGCCTCCTAACACCACTCCTCTCATCCAGCCCATGGACCAGCAAGTCATTTTTAACTTCAAAAATCTGTACACCAAAGCAGTGTTTCAAAGGTGCTTTGAAGTGACCTCAGACACAGATTTGACCCTAAGAGAGTTCTGGAGAAATCATTTCAATATCCTCCATTGCAACATATGCAACATATGGGAATCTTTATTGAGGAAATGTTTCGCCACACAGTGGCTTCATCAGTCCAATACAAATCAGAAGAGTGTAAGAAAGGGAGGAGTTTTGAGGTAATCAGTCCCTCAGCCTGGAGTCCATGTGTTTAGTCCATCAATCTTGTAGAAAGTACAGCATAGGGCCGTAGAAGTGGCTTATATACTGTAGTCAGGTGAGGCGAAGCAGGAGGAGGTGGGGTCATAGTGGTACCATCCACTAGTCGAAGTAGGTCTTCGTCCAAAGGTTGGACAAGTTTTGAAGAATTCTTTGTATCAAGTTCCCATGATGCTGCATGTGATGTAGTTCAGCTGGGCTTGTGAGGTCTCTAGGGAGACCTAATTATATGGTCACCTTGCCTTGGCAAGTGGCTAAGCAGCCACGCCTTTTCGGCTAAAGTCTCAGCTCCTTTGTTCGTCACTGGCGTCAGATCTCGGCGTCAGGTCATACATGTGGTGTACACCTCATTGTGGAGGGTGCTTGGACCACCATATAAGCCCAAGGAAGAGCATGATCGAGAGACTTTGAGCGGAGCGGCTGCTGTGTGCAGAGCTCTGAGCAGGGAGAGTCAAGCAGAGCTGCAGCGTGGGGCAGAGCTCTTATCTGACGGGGCTCTCTGTTGGAGACATTGGGCAGAGTACTGGCTTGGAGCAGTACTCGTGCTGTATAGGTCTTGGGACCTGTGGCTTAGTTCCTGTGGTGAACTGTCCTCTGAACTATATTGTAAGTTATATTCATTTTGGTCAAGTTGATTGTATTCCCTGTCTCACTGCTTATACATACCACCCCATTTATCTAAACACAATAATGTACTCCTGTTCCCAAATATATTATTGTACAAAGACTTAATAATAAACTGTGTTTGAGTAGAATAGTAATATTCACTGCCCCGTTAAGGCAAGGTGACCATATAATTAGGTCTCCCTAGAGACCTCACAAGCCCAGCTGAACTACATCACATGCAGTGTCTGACAGATGTGATGAATGGTTTTGAAAACCGACAAGTTGAAGAATCGAGACACTTATGCAACATATGGGAATATTTATTGAGGAAACATTTTGCCACACAGTAGCTTCATCAGTCCAATACAAATCAGAAGAGTGTAAGGAGAGGAGGAGCTTGAGGCAATCAGTCCCTCAGCCTGGAGTCAAAGTGTTTAGTCTATCAGTCTTGTAGAAAGTACAGCATAGGGCCGTAGAAGTGGCTTATATACTGTAGTCAGGTGAGGCAAAGCAGGAGGAGGCGGGGTCATAGTGGAAGAGTTGGTGGAGGACCACAGGGAAGAGCTAACCACTGAAGAGCTGCAAGAGTTTCATCTGGAACAGCAACAGACCACAGCTAAGGAACTTGCTTCAGAGGAGGAGGAGGTACAGGGAGTGAAGGAGGTTTCTTCTTCAGAGATTAAGGAGATTTGTGCAATGTGGATTAAGGTGCAAGCTTTTGCTGAGAAATATCACCCTGACCAAGCTGAAACAAGCTACATCTGCAACAGGTTAAGTGACAGAACCTTGTCCCACCTCAGGGAAATCTTAAAGAGATGCCAGAAACAGAGCTCTGTGGACAGATATTTTGTGCAACAGGAGTCCAGTAACCCTCAAGCTGGTCCTAATAGCATTAAAAGACAAAGAAGGGAAGTAACCCCAGATAAGGCTTTGATACCTGAAGTCTTTATGGAGGGGGATTCCCCTTTCAAACAATAAACTCTCCTCCCTCTTCCCTCCTTCCTATCTTCCATTAGCCAACAACAGTTTTCAATAAAGATATGTAATACTGATTTAACTGTTCATGTATTTATTTTATTTAATTCTCATTGTTTTGTGTATGTAAAACTATAATTAATCTCTAAAAAATTTATTTTTTTGTGAATATTTTTGGGTGTCTGGAACGGATTAATTGTATTTACATTAATTCTTATGGGAATAATTATTTCGGTTATCAACCATTTTGGTTTTAGGCCGGCCTTATGGAACGGATTACGACCAATAACCAAGGGTCCCACTGTATTCTTTCATTTTCTTTATTTTTTTTTTTTATCACTCTAGACTTGTCAGCTGTTGACACATATTCACTGTCAAAATTACAAAACAGTGCACATGGCTAAGTCAAGTTATTACATTATTCACAGGGTAGCACTAGGTAAATACAGTATCTATCTCTATCTTTATCTATCTCTATCTCTATCTCTACCTCTATCTCTATCTCTATCTATCTCTCTCTCTCTCTCTCTCTCTCTCTCTCTCTCTCTCTCTCTCTAAGGTCCTTGTCTAAGTTGAGCAATAATTGATTTCTTTAAATGTCTAATATTAAGTGGACTTTGCCATGGACATTATTTTGTGTAAATGGTAAGAAACATAACTCAACATAAAATAACCTAACATAACTAAATATTGTACTTAAATATTGTTCAATGGTGGTGTACCTTGTATTCACATTGTAGGATGCAGAATTGTTACAACACAAAAAATAAATTTAAATTTCTTAAAATGATATAAACTTTCTCCTCTATCAGCAGATGTGGAAATGGTAAGTCTTTCTTAATGTTCACTGTGAACAGTGACTGGCCAGGCCCCCAATGGAAATAAGGCACTTTGACTTATCTGGGCTATCCTAGGTAATTTACACTATGTATGATAATTGTAACTGTGTGTACCTGTACCTAAATAAACTTATTTATGTCACATGACTCGATACTAACTGTTGATTATTCCTGAGGTGCTGCACTCTAGCCAAAATACATATAATTTTTGTTAATACAGAATCTAACATAATAATTTGCACAAATGAAAATTTTTTTGCTAGGGGATTGTTTACTCGTATTTTAAAAAATAAATAACAACTGCGTTCTCCCTGGCAAGGGCCTTGTCCGAGTATTAGCCAAGCACTAAACCCATAGGAGTCATATAGAACTTGGCAGGTAATCAAATGCGCTCCCAGGTAGGGGAGGGGAGGGTAGCACTTGTAATTTTTAATGAAAGTTTGGTCAACCAGTGTGGGAACAGAAGGTACTGCAGTCCAGTCCTGCAGCTTTAATTTTTATCACTATTTATGACATGCTATTTTTGCATTTATAAGATTTATTATGTAGAACACTGTACCTATCATGTGTCGAAAAACTGGTAAAAATATATATCTGTGAGGCACCATACTAATACACCAACTTAATTATTACCAACTTCACGATTACCATTATCAAGAAAACTGTGAATTTCACTGTCATGATCAACACAGGCGAGCCAAGTCAACTTTGTCAATCACAAATGTTTCCAGCCAATTAAAAATCACATGAGCGTAATGAGTGATAGATAAACAAACTAGCTGGTGTCACCTGTGGAGGGTGACTGCCACCCACACACCACTAACACAACAAATATCATTTACTTTCCTTCTCGTAGTACTTCACTAGGTTTTCAAGCTCACCAGGTAGATTACGAGAACAGGAGAGTGGCAGAATGTAGAGAGAAGGGATCATCAGCCAGTCATATTCAGTCACTGCCTTTTATGCCAAGCAGACGTAAATAAATCCAAGTAGTGTTCGTGTATTGCGTCATATCTAAAATTTCCTCCATTACTTCGCACACTTTCCTCCAATCTCCTCTTCCCCTTTTCCCACCCCAGCTGACACCCACCCACAGAGACAGTTCTCTCCACCTGGAGGATGGACTCAGATCATCTTGTGAGTGTGAGGTTGGTAAGAGAGATGGGTGGGGAAGCCAGCCTCAGGTGATCCGGACGAGTGTATCGTCTGCTACCTTGGTGGTGCCATCTGTCTCCAAACTTTCCTCTAGACACCAGTCTTCACACTGGTCAGCATGTCTTTATCTGGGGACACCACATACACACATGCACTCACTCGTGGGAGTACATCACAAACACAAAGGAGCATTCACTCAGGGAGAAGCATATACCCAAACTCGTATGGTCACATGCACTCGTTTTTTGATGCATGGGAACAACACACAAGCACTCATCAGACACCACAAACATGCATGTGGGATACATAACATGGATACACTGCTGTAGGTCTAGTGGTTCATGCCAGGCAGGTCCAACTACACCTCGTATACCCATCCAACCAATATTTAGACGTATCACGTTCTTCAACTTGTTCCACTAGTCCATAACTTGTCAAACCAGTACACGTACTTTCCTAAATCCTTTCTAAATCTAAATTTGTCTAACTTGAAAAGTTTTATTTTTTATAAGCCCTACAAAGAAGTTACAGTAAATATATACAGTAATAAATACAAATGCAAGCACAAGTTTGAGTGGCTAGTTTATTGTGCTCCCACAGCTCATCTTATTAAGAGGTAATGCAAAAAAAAAAAAAAATTACAGAGGTCACAGAGGGTCTCATCGGACCCCACTGGGCAATGTTACATTGCTAGGAAGGAATATTAGCCAGCAGAAGAAAGTCACTAACTATGCAATGCATTTCGGGCAAACTAAGCACAAGATTTACATATTACTCCGCTGTGCAAAGGACCCTAATGGAAATAAGTCTGACTTTTTTGGGTTATCGTAGGTTCTCTACACATGCTGCTATGTATGATAATCTATGTAACTGTATTTGTGTATACCTGAACAAACTTACTTACGTGTAAGTAAATTTATTTAAATACACTGGTGAGGGGCTATTGATCTAGGGAACTGAATCTGTGCTCCAGCTCCCTGAATTAAACCTGAATACCTTCCACATCCCCCACAGGCGCTGTATATTCCTATGGGTTTAGCGCTTCCCCTTTATATTTAAATACAGGTACACATAAGTACAACTACACAAATTACCATACATAGTAACATACGCAAAACAACCACGGGCGGCATTGAATAATAGCTCTAGGCCTTTCGTGTTGCAATCAGTACATCATCAGGGGTTTGCAATGTTGCAGAAGAGGATGAAGTCCAAGTAAACACGTTCAGAGGAACGTGTTTTCTTGGACTTTATCCTCGTTTTTCTGCAACATTGCAAGCTCATGATAGAGATGTGTTGATTGCAGCATGAGAGGCCTGGAGTTTACCTGGAGAGAGTTCCGGGGGTCAACGCCCCCGCGGCCCGGTCTGTGACCACGCCTCATGGTGCATCAGGGCCTAATCAACCAGGCTATTACTGCTGGCTGCACGCAATCCAACGTACGAGCCACAGCCCGGCTGCTCAGTTACCTAGAACTATCATTCAACTTCCTCCATGGTTATTTTGCATCTTGTATCGCTTCTTCGCGATTTTTGCATAATAGTAACATATGTGTAAATTACCTAGGATAACCAAAAAAAGAAGTCTGACTTATTGCCACTGGAGTGTTAGGCTGTTTTGAGAACATTGTAAGTAAGCAGGTTTATTCAGGTATACACAAATAATGTTACATAGATTATCCTACATAGCAGCATATGTGTAGAGAACCTAGGATAACCAAAAAAAATAGACTTTTTATTAACCTAAGGAAAGCTTTTGATACAGTAGACCACGGCATCATATCCCAAAAAACTTGACCATTATGGTATAAGAGCCCATGCACTTGCATATTGCAAATCCTACCTTACTAATAGGTATCAGTACGTCACCATTAAGGACACAACCTCATCAACACGACCACTTGATACTGGAGTGCCACAGGGAAGTGCCCTTGGTTCCCTGCTCTTCCTCTTATACATCAATGATCTTCCTAACATATCACAACACCTGAAATCAATTCTCTTTGCTAACGACACGACTTGTCATCTCCCACCCAAAACTTGCCACACTCAACACCATTGTTAACGAGGAGCTACTAAAAAAAATATCTACTTGGATGAGAGCCAATAAACTTACACTTAACACTGATAAAACTTTCTATAACATGCTTGGTAACAGCAGGTGTTGCACAACTGAGCATTAAGATTGACAACACTTATTGCTAAACATAATGAGGGCAAGTTCCTGGGCTTACACCTTGACAGCAACCTGAAATTCAGCACCCATATCCATTCTACATCTCCAGAACCATAAATTCCAATATTAACCCTGAAATAAAACACTTTCTTGATAGTTGTGACAAGACCCATAGACATAATACCAGACAAACATTTCCTTGACATTCCCCGTGTCCGGCTACATCTATACAAAAATTCAATATACATAATAGGGCCTAAAATCTGGAACTCCCTGCCTGGAAACGAGAACTGCAGACACAACCAACATTTTCAAAAGCACCGTTAAAAAACATCTTATCTCCCTTACACACCCCACCGGTAGCTAACCACATGAAAACCAATTTATCTTGCACATATCCAAAGCAAAATACACTTATTGATATCTGTGACTCCCCTTAATCTACACATGACTGTAAACATTAAAATTCTGAATACAGCTATTGCTTCATAATTCTTAAGCTGGTCATAAGTCTTCCTAAGACACTCCAATATAGAAACTGCATCATACCAAATCGAGACCATTTCCATTAATAGATAAACTAATTGTTAAGTTCTTAAATATTTTGAACTACATCAGTTTTGCAAATCTAGTTATTCACTACAATTAACTATGACCACCCTAGAAAATGCCGTGCCCATATGACAACAGGAAAATGCAAACTTACTTCCTGTAAGCTTTTTCACCCTGAAATGTGCCCCTCTTCAGTACAGGAAAGACTGTGCTATAACTTAAATTACCATCTAAAGGGGACAAAAAGATACAAAACATCCAGGCCATGGGAAAACCAGGGTAGCCACAGCCACTCAAGAGGGAGAGGTTTTTTAGTGCCATGAAGGAAAAAAAACTGGCAGGAAATGGCGGAAATCGTACGCCAAATCCAGTCATTTCTGGAGTGGAACCACAGTCGATGGCCTCCACTCCAAACCAACAGATACAGATACTAGTGCCGGAAAAAAATCCCCCCCCCAGTACCACCAGTCCGATGACATTCTTCTTTGCAAATATACAGGGTCTAAAGCCAGCAACGAACAACAAAATACCTTTCATCCGTGGACTGCTTGCAGAAGCCAATGTTCGCGGCCTTCACAGAGACCCACATAAAGGATCACTTGGACAACAAAATATGAATCCCAGGTTACAACCTATACAGATGCGACAGAGTGAACAGTCAAAAAGGGGGGGGGGGTTGGCCTGTATATCGCAGAGTCACTTGTTTGCACAGAACTGCTTAATGCCTCAAATGATGTAATGAAAGTTTTAGCAGTAAAGATTGAGAACCAAAACCTTGTCATTGTGGTATTTTACAAGCCTCCGGATGCAACATCCCAGCAATTCCAGGAACAGCTGTTAAAAATTGACCACTGTCTGGAAAATCTTCCAGCTCATGCTCCCAACATCTTGCTCCTGGGGGATTTCAACTTGAGGCACCTAACATGGAGGAATATAGCAAATAATGTTGTTGCAGTGATAACACCAGGAGGCAGCTCTGACGAGAACTCGCACACACACCCACACCCACACGAGCTTTTAAATCTCTGCACAAAATTCAACTTAAACCAGCAAATAACAGAGCCTACTGGACTGGAGAATACACTAGACCTCATCTTCACTAACAATGATGATCTGATACGAAATGTCACCATATCAAAAACAATATACTCAGATCACAACATAATCGAGGTTCAGACATGTATGCGCGGAGCCCCAGACCAACAAAATGAGATTAGTCACGAGAGAGCCTTCACCAAATTCAATTTCAGTAACAAGAACATAAAGTGGAACGAAGTAAATCAAATCCTGAATGATATAAGCTGGGAAGATAAACTAAGCAACACCGACCCCAACTCATGCCTAGAACAGATTAACTCGGTGGCACTCGATGTAAGCTCAAGGCTTATTCCTTTAAGAAAAAGGAGGAGTAGATGTAAAACAGAAAGAGACAGGCGCTCCCTTTACAGGCGACGAAAAAGAATAACAGAGCGGCTAAAAGAGGCCAATATATCTGAAATGCGTAGGGAGTCACTGGTCAGAGAAATAGCAAACATCGAACTTAAGCTAAAGGATTCTTATAGGAGTCAGGAATCGCTGGAAGAACTAAGAGCCATAAATGAAATCGAAAGAAACCCAAAGTATTTCTTTTCTTATGCCAAATCAAAGTCGAGAACAACATCCAGTATTGGGCCCCTACTTAAACAAGATGGGTCCTACACAGATGACAGCAAGGAAATGAGTGAGCTACTCAAGTCCCAATATGACTCAGTTTTTAGCAAGCCACTAACCAGACTGAGAGTCGAAGATCAAAATGAAGTTTTTATGAGAGAGCCACAGAATTTGGTTAACACAAGCCTACCTGATATTATCCTGACACCAAATGACTTCGAACAGGCGAGAAATGACATGCCCATGCACTCTGCCCCAGGGCCAAACTCATGGAACTCCGTGTTCATCAAGAACTGCAAGAAGCCCCTATCACGAGCTTTTACCATCCTATGCACAGGGAGCATGGACACGGGGGTCGTCCCACAGTTACTAAAAACAACAGACATAGCCCCACTCCACAAAGGGGGCGGTAAAGCAATATCAAAGAATTACAGACCGATAGCACTAACATCCCATATCATAAAAATCTTTGAAAGGGGCCTAAGAAGCAAGATCGCCACCCATCTAGATACCCATCAATTATACAACCCAGGGCAACATGGGTTTAGAGCAGGTAGCTCCTGTCTGTCTCAGCTACTTGATCACTACGACAAGGTCCTAGATGCACTAGGAGACAAAAAGAATGCAGATGTAATATATACAAACTTTGCAAAAGCCTTTGACAAGTGTGACTATGGCGTAATAGCGCACAAAATGCGTGATAAAGAAATAACAGGAAAAGTTGGAAGATGGATATATAATTTCCTCACAAACAGAACACAAAGAGTAGTAGTCAACAGAGTAAAGTCTGAGGCGGCTACGGTGAAAAGCTGTTTCACAAGGCACAGTACTCGCTCCCATCTTGTTTCTCATCCCCATATCTGACATAGACAAGGATGTCAGCCACAGCACCGTGTCTTCCTTTGCAGATGACACCCGAATCTGCATGACAGTGTCTTCCAGTGCAGACACTGCAAGGCTCCAGGCGTACATCAACCAAATCTTTCAGTGGGCTGCAGAAAACAATATAAAGTTCAACGATGAGAAATTTAAATTACTTCGATATGGTAAATATGAGGAAATTAAAACTTCATCAGAGTACAAAACAAATTCCGGCCACAAAATAGAGCGAAAAACCAACGTCAAAGATCTGGCAGTGATCATGTCGGAGGATCTCACCTTCAAGGACCATAACATTATATCAATCGCATCTGCTAGAAAAATGACAGGATGGATAATGAGAACCTTTAAAACTAGGGATGCCAAGCCCATGATGACACTCTTCAGGTCACTTGTTCTAACTAGGCTGGAATATTGCTGCACACTAACAGCACCTTTCAAGGCAAGTGAAATTGCTGACCTAGAAAATGTACAGAGAACCTTCACGGTGTGCATAACAGAGATAAAACACCTCAGTTACTGGGAGCGCTTGAAGTTCCTGAACCTGTATTCCCCGGAACGCAGGCGGGAGAGATACATGATTATATACACCTGGAAAATCCTAGAGGGACTAGTACCGAATTTGCACACGAAAATCACTCACAAGGAAAGCAAAAGACTCGGCAGAGGATGCAACATCCCCCCAATGAAAAGCAGGGGTGTCACTAGCATGTTAAGAGACCATACAATAAGTGTCAGGGGCCCGAGACTGTTCAACTGCCTCCCAGCATACATGAAGGGGATTGCCAACAGACCCCTGGCAGTCTTCAAGCTGGCACTGGACAAGCACCTAAAGTCGGTTCCTGACCAGCCGGGCTGTGGCTCGTACGTTGGTTTTCGTGCAACCAGCAGTAACAGCCTGGTTGATCAGGCTCTGATCCACCAGGAGGCCTGGTCACAGACCGGGCCGCGAGGGCGTTGACCCCCGGAACTCTCTCCAGATAAACCACCCCCAAACATGCGCTGTATAATCCTGCAGGTTTAGCGCTCCCCCGTGATTATAATAATTATAATGGTCAGTCGCTCCTGTGACATTCAAGACCTCAGATATGTTTTTATTAATTTCACTTTTGAAAATGACCTTTCACAACTTACCACTGAAAATGTGATTTTTAACAGTAATGTGCATGACACACACAGCGTGGGAAAGACATCCCTCCCATACTGCAGTAAACACTCCAGAGCATCTTTACCATCACCAGGGATTCTATTCCCTCCAGTTCGAAGGAGCATCACAAAATCAATAATTTCGTCATATAACTGAATGGCTGGCACATCATTATCAGAATTTGCAAAGTCTGAACATTCCCTTTTTAATTTCTCTCTTTCTTGTCGATCTTCAGTCGGGGGGCACCATTTTCTCTGGACAGAAAGGGTACACCATGTTAAGATAAGATTTCGTTCGGATTTTTAACCCCGGAGGGTTAGCCACCCAGGATAACCCAAGAAAGTCAGTGCGTCATCGAGGACTGTCTAACTTATTTCCATTGGGGTCCTTAATCTTGTCCCCCAGGATGCGACCCACACCAGTCGACTAACACCTAGGTACCTATTTGCTGCTAGGTGAACAGGATAACAGGTGTAAGGAAACGTGTCGAAATGCTTCCACCAGCCGGGAATCGAACCCGGGCCCTCCGTGTGTAAAGCGGGAGCTTTAGCCACCAGGCCACCAGGCCACAGGAATAAAGGGCTAACCACTGCCTCTGTAGTGCGGTGAGCCTCCAAAAAATTATTTATCATAGCTGAAATTTCAAAATCACTATCTTATTTCCCTCTCTAATTGGATACCTCCTCATTTGGATGCCCGGGGCCACCGCCCCTTCGGACCCCCTCTGCACACCACTGCTGTGAGTACCACAAAGTTGAACTCTCCCCCTAGTACTAGTGCTTTGGCATATACACACCTTTAAGGTGGGTTTTATCATAAATTGTTTATTACATAGCTTTATTTTGACCATACAAAATTAGTACCAACAGTGGCACTTTCCTTTATTTGGAAACTTGATTGTTTAAAATTACGCGTTGGAATAGCTGCCAAAGCCATCTAAGCTGCCTCAGATTTTTAAACCATTACTTATGGTAAAATAATTCCCAGTTAAATTGTATAAAAATATAGACACAATAACAAAATTAATAATGTCATTACTGGCATGTTTATTATTAATAGCACTGACGGCCTGGCAAGTCTTATATGTATTATTTCTGCTAATCTGCCAACTAATTCATATTACATCTTGTTACAAAATTGATTTTGTTTTCCTGAACTAATAATACTTTTATTTAAAGTAGAACTTAGAAATTACAGCGTAAAATAATTTTTAATATATAATTTTATAAAGAGCTTATAAGATGATGATATTATTGAAATTAGTGGTAGTAAAGTGTTAGTGAGGATGATGGTGCAGGTCGGAGTAGCTCCCTGACGTTCCCGTTGGCTGCTGCTTCGTCTGCTTCTCTGAGGTTTGTTATTTCGCGGGATTTTAAGTGTTAAACCTCAGCATGTGTTTTTGTATGTGATTGATGGGAGCTAGGAGGATGTGTTTGAGGTGATGATGAGAAGTTTAGAGTCACATACATTGAGGGGAAGTGGATAAATAAGGTGTGGGCCGGAAGCGGCCGGTGGGGGGCTATAAAATTATAGGCCTCGAGATCAGCTGATTTTTACGCAATGTTTATCACGCCTCCTGTAGAGCTCATAGAGGAAGACTAAGTGACTTAGTCTATTTTTATTATTCATAATACTTAAGTTAATTACTTTTTAAGAAGAGAGATTGATAATTATGGTCGAGGCAATTGTATACACGGTACATAAATTTCCGTAGCTGGATCATCAGTGCACTCTGCTCACACACTGAGGTCCGGGGTTCGAATCTCCTCCGGTACGACTGGAAAACGTTAGGGACGTGTTTCCATAAGACACCTGTCCCTGTCCTTGTTCACTCATCAGTTTGAAATGGGTACCTGGGTGTTAGTCGACTGGTGTGGGTCGCATCCTGGGACAAAACTGACCTAATTGCCCAAAATGTTCAGCATAACAAGCGGCTTTCTGTATAGTAGTATGTCACTGATGTCTGCTAGGACTGTATACCATGTACATGTACTTGTAGTAAATAAAGATATTATTTATTATTATATTGATTTTGATGTATGAAAATATTATAACTTAAGTGCCTAATTGGGAAAATCCCATATTGATTTTGATTTGCTCCATATTTCACTATAGATATATGAAGGTTATAACCTAGGATATAGCATGTGCTAAATTAGGAAAAAATTTCCATTTAAAGTGTGTATTGGCTAGCGTGTTGGTATGAAGTTTTAAATGATCACGGGTTCTATCCCTGCCCGTGGTATGTTTGTGTGTATTATTTAGACGTATGCAGTGTTAAAGCACAACACAATTACAATCTATATCTAAAAAATTTGTTTGGCAAGACTAATAAAAAAAATTCAAATTTTTAACCTGGAGGGTTAGTTACCCAGGATAATTCGGTAGTCATTGCATCTTTGGGGACTCTTGCTCCATTGGGGTCCTTTGAACTTGTGGCTTAGTATTGTGGGTGCTTGTGGCTCAGTTGATAGCATCTTCAGCTTGCTGAGGGACTGGGGATTGATCCCAGCACAGGTGAAACATTTGGGGTTTCCATACACCTGCTGCCCCTGTTGACCTAGCAGTAGGTAGGTCCCTAGGTGAGTCAACTGTTGTGCATTGTATCCTAGGGGAGACAGTTAAAGGACCCTAATAGAGACAAGAGTTCTGGTGACAAGTGGGCTTTATTTAGTTTTCCTGGATGGCTAACTCTCCAGGTAAAAATTCCAAACAGTCTCATCTTCCCCAGGATGTGACCCACAACAGCCAGTTAATACCAAGGTACCTACTTACTACTAGGTGAACAGGAGCAGCAGGTTTAAGGCAACATACCTGTTCACAAGCTATTTTCTTGCTATCACAAGATATGCCAGTGTCAAGTTCAGTTGGCAATAAAGCTGTCATTTCTCCCCCCCCCCTTTCTCTGCACCTTCACTTGATTGGTGTGATCGTGGTAGCACCTTCGGCTCTTGGCAGAAGGGTCAGGGTTTCATCTTGAGGCTGGTGGGAATGGTTTTTCCTTATAATTTTTGCTCTGTTTATATAGCAGTAATTAAGTACCTGGGTATTAGTTGACTGTTAAGGTGCATCCTGGTGAAGAGAACCAAAGAACCTCAATGGAAGTAAGTTCCATGGGTTTTCTCTGGATATCCTGGGTTAATACTCCAAATGAAATCTTGAAAGTAAAATTACTAATGTGAAATAAAATTTCATGATTACAGCAATTACATTTTGATCCTTTAAAGGGAGGTTCCTTGATACCATTGTGGATCTCTTGACATAAGGAATTTTACCTGGATTGAACCTTAATGCTTTCCATTCTTCCAGGTATAGTGTGACCTCTACATGTTTGGTGCTCCCCCATGAATAATTATTGCATTTGAGTATACGTATTTTATTTTATTACTAACAGTTGAACCCAGTATTATTGTAGGCATACAATGTTACAGAATAATGCTTGAACCTTAAATAGCTCAACATGATTTGGTAATTTATTCCAGTATTTTAAAGAAGGCAAAATCTGGCTACATTGAAGTTTTCAGTAAAAATTACTTCTCATTGCATGTCGGGTGACATTACTGAAAGGGCTCCACTGATAACAAGGCTTCTAGTGAGTAAAGTGTCACTTTAAAGAAATATTCAATTTCACAGATGGCATTGAACCCAATGTACCGCCGGGCGCTGGCCTTAACCATCCAGCAGGTCAGCCGTCAGCAAACTGCAGCTGCATCTACCGTATCAAAAATTGGTAACCGTGATGTTGTAGGCTTTGGCATGAATGGTACACCTTCATATATTGACAGAGTTGATTTTCCCATGCCGGCCATCCGCTTCAAGGAGAACACTCCTGATATCCAAGTTAGTGAAGTAGATTAGATGTTATAAGGAAATTGTATTTTCAGTATTGCCTTGATTAAGGGAACATTCTCTATAAAAAATAGGTGAAATAATTTTCATTTTAAATAGCATTTTGAGAAAAATACCAAATGACCACCCTAAAAAATAGTTAAGGCAGTAGGTATACAAAAGATGCAAGTTAAAAACAAGCTTTTATTAGGACCCTTTGTTCTCTGACACAAATAACCTGCACAGAGAGAGGAGCTTATGGTGACATTTTGGTCCGACTTTGACCATTTACAAAGACACACTAACAGAAGAATGAGGAGCAAAACGTTGTCGTAAGCTCCTCTCTCTCGTGTGTGTTATTTGTGCATTGTTCCAATCATAGTATTGTGCCTTTTTGTTCTTTGGTCTTTAATGTTTCATAGTTGACTTCACAAAGGTCAATACAGCAAAATGCTTAGATAAAGCTTGCTTTGAAGTGTCTTCTGTTATTAGGATTATTTGGATCCAGGTAGGTACAGTAATTAATCCATTATTAATGGTTGTGCATGGCATTTACCATTATGATTTCATTGGTGGAAAGTGCTATGATCAGGTGATTGCTGAAAAACAACTTCCTCAGTACTGTAGTCTTCCACCTAATTTCCATATACAATACAGTTGAATTTTTTTCCTTTTTATATTTTGTAACCAAATGAATTTGTATTATATTCTCAATTTTTATCAGATGTGTAGATAATTTGAGAATAAAATATCAGTGCATTGGGTAAAAAGAAAAGAGAAAATATCAGTTTTTAATTAACTCTACAGTACTTAACCAATCTTTGCCAATTAATTTGATAAAAAATTAATACTTGTACAGTAAGGCCCCACTTATATAGCAGGTTAGGTTCCAGGCTACTGCCATAGAGCAAATCTCCCTTTTTATTTTTTTCACTTAAATGCATATAAATGCCTGTTAATGTGTTTATACTATCATATATTAAGTTAGCAATAGAGCTAATAGGCTTAAAAAAAAGTAAAATGTATATGCAGTACACTCCTTGATTACCCTAACCCTTAAACTGTCCAAACGTAGATCTACGTTCGCGTGCAAAGCACTCCGAACGTAGCTCTACATTTTATTTTACATGCTTTCAACTTTGGCATGATAGGTCTGAGTTCCCTAGACATGAGAGAATGGGTCTGTGCACTCAATGTGCAGAGTATGACAAAATTCGTGGATGCCGGGAAAAATGCGCTCTTCATTTTAATTTTTTTTTCCCTCCAAAAAATATTCAGAGCCCTAAGCAAGTGAATGTAGATCTATGTTTGGACAGTTTAAGGGTTAAAATATTTTTGGTCTTAACCCTTTCAGGGTCCACAGGCCCCCGTCAGAGACTTGTTCTCAGGGTCCCCCAAATTTCAAAAAAAAAAAAAAATTCTTATGAAAAGATAGAGAAACTTTTCCCGATCATAACAACACCAAAAGTATGAAATTTGATGGAAAACTTTAAAGAATTATGCTCTCGCGAAGTTAGCGGTCTTGACGATGTTTACGCATCGGCGATTTTGCCCACTTTGAGCCCTATTTTCGGCCAATTCCAGTGTACTAGTAAAAAATCGTACCTATTTTGCTAGAACTCCATTTTTTCTATTGAATGAGTACAAGAAACCACCCATTTACCGATTTCAACTATCCAATACAGTGGTCAGAATTTAGCAATTTGGCCAATTTCACACAAATTTCAAAAGATGCCAATTTCCAAATAGGGTCCAGAATTAACAAGAAGAAATTCCTGGCACTAAAATAACATTTCCTCTGTTCATTAGTCACGTCCCCACGCCCCTCTTACATTCTTTTGCTGTCCATTTTGAATTTTTATTCTCACAAAAAAAAAAAAATTTACTGTTATGCAGACTACTGCATTAGTATAGAAGTGGTATAAATAATATCGGCGCACTTGTGAAAGAATATTAGACTCAGGCTTAGCATGATTCGTTTACTTTTGAACTTTGGTAAAAATCGAACATTTCTGCTACTTTGAGCTCAATTTCAAGGTACTTTTCGTTGTAAAACCAGTCAAAATCATCTCAATTTCTGTAATGTGTCTTCCATTCTATAAAATGAGACCAGGAAAACTAGAATAAAACAATAAATACCATATGAAAATGCAGTGCAAAGTCGCTGTTTTAATCCAAAAACGGTCAGTTTTTTTTTTCTCATTACGCACTGTGCTGCAGGATTTTTTTTATACTGCACACAGACCACTGAGGTCAGTGGCCAGTACGCTTAGGTCAGTGGTCACCTGCGGTCATACCTGCCTAAGCTCTTGGGAGTTAGCGTGGGCTGTTACCAAGCACCATGGCTTGTTGTAGTGTTTTAGAATCTCAGGTTCAAGTGTTGAAGAAGGAGATTCTACTTCTTTAGGAGGAAAATAGGAGGCTGAAGCTTAGCATAGATTAGTTTGGGAGCGAGTGTGAGAAGGATTTAGCTGGTAAGGAAGGAATGGTCACCAGCAGTGATAGTGGCAGCTGCTTTAACCCTTTCAAGGTCCGTCCCGTAGATCTACGGCTTTACGTTCAGGGTCCGAACCGTAGATCTACGTCATGAGCTCAGCTCACTCTGATAAACTGCGAGTGGTAAATTTGGGCCTAGATATGAGAGAATACATCTATGTGGTATGTGTGCACCACATAAAACAAATCCTGCAGCACACTGTGTATAATGAGAGAAAAAAAACTGAGACCATGATTTTCGATTAAAACAGCGACTTTGCAGTGTTTTTTCGTATGTTTTTTATAGTTGTATTTGTGATTTCTTGGTCTCATTTGATAGAATGGAAGACATATTACAGAAATAGAGATAATTTTGATTGGTGTTAGCACTGGAAATGGCTTGAAATTGAGCTCAAAGTGGCGGAAATGTTAAATTTTTGCCGATGTTCAAGAGTAAACAAACGACCTCACACGTCTAATACACGCCAGCTGGTGGGTCTAATATACATTCACAAATGTGGTGATGATATTTATACAATTATTACAATATTGCATAACAGTAAATCTTCTATTTTTTGGTGTGAATAAAAATTTATTATGTGAATAAAAAATCAAAATGGAATTTACAGTGGACCCCCGCATACCGATTTTAATCCGTGCAAGAGGGCTCGTTGGTATGCGAAATAATCGGTATGCGAATGAATTTTCCCCATAAGAAATAATGGAAATCAAATTAATCCGTGCAAGACACCCAAAAGTATGAAAAAAAAATTTTTACCACGTGAAATATACATTTTCCTACACACAGAGAAGGATACATGCACAATAGTATAGTAGTACATGCACAGTATATATTGTGCATGTACTAGTCTACTAAATGAAGAATAAATGACACTTACCTTTATTGAAGATGCAGCAATGACTGATGAGACACTGTGTCCTGGGAGTGCCTTTTCCTCCTGAGTACTGTAGGTCCTGTTTGGTATTTTCTTCCAGAACATGCCTTATCACACTGTGTATGTCACTACGATTCTTAAATCTCTCAAACCAACCTTTGCTGGCTTTAAATTCACCAATATGAGCACTAGTTCCAGGCATTTTTCCCTGTTCACCTGGGTGTTAGTCGACTGGTGTGGGTTGCATCCTGGGAGACAAGATTAAGGACCCCAATGGAAATAAGTTACAGTCTTCGATGACACCGACTTTTTTGGGTTATCCTGGGTGGCAAATCCTCTAGGGTTAATTGTTTCTTGGTATATTCTCAATAAGCCACACCAACAACAGTGCTACAGCAGCAGCAGACGATGCTAACAGCAGCATGCACAGCACGATGCTACGAGCAAGCAGCAGCAGACGATGCTACAGCAGCAGCAGACGATGCTACAGCAGCAGCAGACGATGCTACAGCAGCAGCAGACGATGCTGCAGCAGCAGCAGACGATGCTACAGCAGCAGCAGCTGACAGTGCAGCAGCAGCAGCAGCAGCTGTACCACCAATAGTAGCGATGGTTGATTGGGGTTTATTATACAACCTGGCCAGCTCAGAGACACGCACTCCACTTTCATACTTATCAATGATCTTTTTCTTCATCTCTATAGTAATTCTCACCCTTATTGCTGTAGGGTTGGCACTAGAAGCTTTCTTGGGGCCCATGGTCACTTATTTTCCAGATAAAATCACCAAAAACACTGTAATAATACGAAATGTTATGATTGTATGCTTGGATGCTACCGCGGAGGCTGGCTGGTAAACAATGCCACCGGCGGAACATGTGAGGCTGGCTAAGGCGCACATTGGACGCGTCTCGGACGAACAGCGGTGAGCGGGTTTTTAAGCGGTATGCGAGGCAAAATTTTTGCGATTAAAGCAAGCGGTATGCGGATTAATCGTTATGGGATGCCAACGGTATGCGGGGGTCCACTGTATTTGTAAAGCCTCAAAACACAACTAATGAACAGAGGAAATGTTAGTTTAGTGCCAGGAATACCTACATTGTTTATTCTGGACCCTATTTTGAAATTGGAATATTTTGAACTTTGTGTTAAATTGGCCAAATTACCAATTTCCGGTCATTTTATTTTGTAGTTGAAACAGTTGACTTGGCGATTTCTTGTGCTCAATCGATAGAATAGAAGTAATACTAGTGAAATAGCTGAGAATTTGGTCGACTGGAATAATGTAATTGGCCTAAAATGGGAGTCAAAGTCGGCAAAATCGCCGATTCGTAAATATCGCTGACACATCAAAATTCACGAGAGCATAATTTCGTCAATTTTCCATCAAATTTCGTACTTTTTGTTTTATTACATTCACAAAAAGATTCTCTACCATTTCATAAGAAAAAATAACTTTTTTTTTTTTGAAAATTCTTGGACACTGGGGCACCACTTCAGATTTTGGCCTTGGACCCTGAAAGGGTTAAGGCTGAACCCCCATCTTTCATTTTCATTTTTTTTATTTTTCAACCGATTTATTTTTGGTGTACTTTTAGAGGTGCATATGTAGAAGAATGTAACAAAGTTTCAGTATGCTTGGC